ATTAGAAACAGACTTTCTGTGCTGTTAGGATATACCGCACCATTTTTGTGGTAGGAAGCTATGATAAGAAAGTGTCAGAAGTTGTATTTGTCTCCGTGGGAGTAAAAGAGTAAGTAGGCATGCTTTGTCCATCAGAAGCAGGCAGTGCTTCCTTACTGTAGGAATGTGTTTTTTCCTCTCATGATTGCATCTTCCATAAGAGAGAAATGTTGATGGAGAAACCATTTTGGTTATAAATAGTTACAAGTGTGGTCTCTGAAGTATACTTCTACCAGTTCAAAACAGAAAGGCAAGCGTATAATATTTTCTTTTGGATTCCACAGAGAAAAATTATAATAGCTAAAACACTACCTTCTGTGGCTCCTTTTACTGAGGGATATGATCAAGCCAACAATTACATCTGAAAAATGCTAATAACTCATGTATCTAAAAAGTGCGAAGATTAAAAATATGCACATCTCTACTACACGATTGAGTTTTACTGATAGCACCTCATTTTCAAGTCTAAATCCAGGACAAATATCAAACCCAAACTTTTATGCAACTTAACAGCATGGGCACGATCACTCTAAAACGCAGAGCGAAGCTATGGAACGTGGCACAGTGGAGTCACAGCGCCAGCTCCTGCTCTGCTTTCTAACCCCTCTTTACAGTGCCATTGGGGATCGTGCCATCCTTAGTGAGTGCTGTGTATTGCGTACCTATATGTGTGTGCATAGGCCTGTGACCTTCCAAAAGACCTGGATGACAACATATCATGTGTGGGCCATAAATTGTCATCTGATGATATGCATTAGACATTATGCGACCAAAATGAGGAACAGTCTTACTTGACTAAGTTTTTTAAACTCTGATTTTCCACCAGTTACCTTTTCAGTACATGCCAAGATGCTTGTTTTTATATCCCGACAATGCTTTGTTTTGAAGCAGAGGAAAGTGAGAGAGAGTAATACAGCTCTGAAACTGTTCATGTAGAATTAGATGTCCCTTACTTTTCTTGTTGAGTGCCCTGGAACCCAAAGCAGATCAGGTATTACTGTGTTTTCATCTTTGTGACACAGAGGATCTCATGCCCTCAACAAAATACCTCCGCAGAAATGATTTTATCATTTCAGCACGTAAGAGGTGAATCACTGTATTTTGTATCTTCAGCTTTTGCTGAAGGTCTTTTTGGTCATTTTATTTTAACCTTTCAGGGGAAAGGACAAGCAGCAGTTCCTACAATATAGCTTTTCCTAGTTATCTCAAGCATCGTTTTTCTGAGGGTTCAACTTTTGAGCATGGTGGTGCTGGACCACTTGCTGTTGGACCAGAGAGCCTCCAAAAGAAATGCAAAAGCCCAGAGACAGATATCTAATTGAGACATTGCAACTGGCACATCTTGTAAGAAAAGTATTGGCTACTTTCTAACCTGCTGCAAGATCCCTACAGGATCCATACAGCTGGGGTCCATGCTCTCCTTGGCCTTCCTTTAAGATGCCTGTTTGCACTCCAAGCTGGGAGAAGACAGAACATTTGTATGGGTCAGAACAGCTGATTTCTAGTTTAATCCCATTCTCACAGGTAAGAAGGAACACACTGCTAGGAAACAGGCCTGAGTCTTTACTAGCACTCCTTGTATTTCATTTGTGCTCATCTTGGAGACAATACGCATAAGAGGATAAAATCAACAGAAGTGAAAGATGGGAAATGCATCCTATGATGCACTGATGACTCAGAATGATACAACAGGCAGATGCAGAAACCTTTCTCATTTCCATCTCAAACTAAAAAAGCACTGACAAAAATTAACACAATATGTGCAAACCAAGTCCTCACCTCTGCAGATTCTGCATTTGGCTTCAGACAAATAAGGTTGCCCTCCACTGTCAGGCGGCTCAGCTTGCAACAAAGTCCCAGGTACTGCATCTGGTTGATGTCCTCAATATTGTTCCCTTCCAGGTCCAAAACCTCAAGGTGATCCAACCAGGTCAGCTGGCTCAGGTCAGAGATATTGTTATAGGATATGTAGAGTTCCTCAGCAGAAGTAAACAGAATAAATATGTATACCACAGGCTTCCACAAACACTCAAGGTTCACAAAATATTTTCTAATATTTGAAATATTACATGGCACAGCATGAAATTCGCACAGAAGTGAACATTTTTCAAGTGTGGCTCTTGCTGCCTTAAATAACTAGGGCTAATATGGCAACAAATCCTATGCTGCATTAGGCATCTTCAGGATTAGACCTGAATGTTACATCTCATTTAAAAAAAATAATACTATAGCGTCTTTTAAACTAACACATGCAATTCAAGGCATCCAACCAAAGTCCTTTAGATAAACAAAGGGTGAGAAGAGAACAAAGACTACAAGAAAGAGAAGAGTATCAACTGAAGATAGTTTTGAGATCGTCATTTAGCGGGACACATCTATACTTACTTTTAGAGAGCTGCAGGAAGAGATCCCATCTAAATCTGAGAGCCCACAGCGAGCCATCCACAGGACGTGGAGATGGGACAATGTGGTTCCAAGATCCCTTATAAAAGAAACAATTCAAGCTCTATTTGAATGGATGAAGGAACTCAAGGCTTGCTTTCTTTTTCCTAAGACTAGGCCACTGCTACTTCCTTCAAATCTCACATTGTTTACAAGAAATGTCATTAAAACGTTCACCTTCAAAGGTGGAGAATAACAATTATACCACTCTCTATCTCTCTCTCTCACAGACATCTTTGTTCTTGTATGCCAACATGCCACCCCAGTTCAGTTTGATTAAGATTCTTCCAAGAGCTACATCATGGTAATTCTGTCATAAATCACAGGTAATTGCTAAGAATTAAGTGAGGTTTGCTTATGCTGGCATCATTTGCTCTACACCCGTAACCCCAAATTAACATATCTGAGCTGACTGCACAGTCATCTCACTCTGTCCTCTTATGGAGTTACCTTTCTTCTGATTTTGTGGTTGAAAGGAATAGCACTCTTGCCAAATAACATTTTTTGAATCAGCAGAAAATTATAATCCTTTCCATCCTATTTTCCTACACTTTAGGTCTAGCAAAATATAAATAAGGGATCATTTGTATGAATTCCAAACTTTATGGTCCTAACCCAGAAAAGCATATACTGACCTGCTTAACTCCATGCATGTGTAATGTCCCACTGACATTGCAACAGTGCATAATACAAAGGTAATGCAAAATGTAAAAATGGTGGCAAATCAAATTGGGGGCTTAACCACCTTCCATCTTTGGTAACATTAAGTTGCATAAAGCCACTACTCAAACATAAACAAAATACAACACTTTATCAAATCCCAAATCAAACAAAAGCTCAGAATTCTCTACTGTAGCCATGATATCAGACTATCTGAATAATAAAGAACTAAATAGAGGGGAACTAAATACAAGGACAGTTTATCAATCAGAGGAGGTAGAGACTAGCATAGTGTTCACAGAATCACAGCAATGGTTGAAGTTGGAAGGGATCCCTGGAGGTCATCTTGTCCAACCCCCATGCTCAGGCAGGGCCAGTTGCCCAGGACCACATCCGAACAGCTAAAATAGTTCTTAAATAGAAATTCTTGGATTTAAAAATTGTGAATTAGCTATCTTTTACAACATCCATATTTATAATATACATTATAATAAATAATATATACTTTAATGCACTGTCTAGGGAACATTGCAGAAAATAAAAGAATATGGTCATGGGGTCCCTTCTGATATTGGCATAAACGTAACAGTTCTCTTACTCATGTCTTCTCTTTATGGACCATGGGGAAAAAGAGCAGCTTTGCATTGCCCTCTGAGAACCTCTTCCAGCTTTGATCCAGCTTTGCAGCAAAAAACCCTTCAGGGGTACTGCACAGCTAGCCAGTCAAAGAGGTCAGGAAGGAGTGCTTCTACAAGTGGGGATAGGCATATTCTTGTCTGTGTTTTCTGTTGTTTCTCTACCATCTGAACACTTGGGAAGGGCCACATCAGGAGAAAGGCTGAATAAAGGATGGATGCACGGAAATATATCCCCAGATGTCTCTCTACTGCAATTTGCCCAATACAGGGTCGAATAGAAGTTTCTAGGGTGAAATTGGGGATTTTCACCTGCCTGCCTTCTGGGGCATGGTTTGTCCACAGGCATCATTCAGACCTATCTCACTTCATCCATCCTCTACCACTGCAGGGGCCCCAGGCATTGGGTGCCTCTGATCATCTCTTCCCTGGATGCTGCAAATTTAAGTAAGCTCGTGATGGATGCACCATACAATGTGTTTACGTAACATTTTATAGCCTTTGAATTGCAAACAGTGCAGCTGATCTAATGGCCAGAATAAAGCAAACAAGAAAAATCTCAGTCACACGGCACGTCTCTTTCCGTGTAAGGCCACTCCTCCTTACAGGAGAAAACCTTCAACTGGCATAAACCACAACTCCTCCGCTGAGTTTTCTGCATCTAGGCAGCTTGCCCATGCTGACACAGGACATTGCTGTCTAGTACACAGACACAAGGATAAAGAAAGCCACGCAAACACAGAAACTCCCTTCATATTTATACAATACGGTTCCTTCTGTGAACTTGCTGCAAACTTACTTTACCTCGTCCCTTAGCTATCAGGGCAATGGGGAACACTTGCCATTCTGTCACTGTACCTGCAACCAGATAAGCCTCTAAAAAGATGGAAGTTTGTCACATTTCTTTCCACGTACTTATTCATATTTGCCTGAAGGATGGCAATGTCCCTGTATGTCATCATGTCCTCAGCTTTACAGAAGATCTTCCAGGGACTATTTACATGGTGCATATTTTATAAAAAAAATGAACACCGGTTCTAAGGATTCCTTAAGGAACAGATGCCTCCCAAAGTAATATTTACAGAAATTTATTATTAGATTTGCAAGCTGCGTGCCTATAATAAGAAAGAAATTAAATTAAATTACAAAAGCAGAACCTACTATCAACCAACGCCAACACATCCATAAAAACAAATATGGCATTAGGAGTAATGTGAAGGAATTACATTGCTCATTTCACTTCAAGCACTGATAAGTTTTTCAAATTTCAGGCTAATTTTGGTGCAGAATTTTCTTTTCTGTAAACCACTGAACAGAGGTAAAGGAAAGCAGTCACTCTCATTTTTGTATCGTTGAAACAAGTGTTTCTGATAGACGCTCTGTTTATTAGGCCAGCAAAACTGAAGACAATCTTAACCTGATTACTTTACATATGGTATGGTAAGGTATGATTAATGAATTTTATTTTTATTTTTTCTTTGTCTTGTACTTCCTAACTGAAGGTCTTTTGCCACAGAAGGAGCTTTTGGTAATATGCTTGTTCCTAACATTTCTCTGTCAATATAAAGGATGCTAAAAGAAAGCAATGGATTAATTCCCAAGATGTTTTTACACAAGGCCCTGAGAAGAAACAGCTATCCCCTCTACTGCTAAGACCTTGATCACTTCATGCATTTTGAAGAAGCTGTCCCCTGCTCCTACTCAGAAGTCAAAGGGTCCCACAGTTAAATCGTATTTCCCTCTGTGTGTTACAGTTTTCAGTTCCAGTGCTGGCTATGGCTAAACCCAGTGTACATGAATGGGGTCGGTTCCTGCTCACACCGTCTGCTAAGTCACGCACAGCACGTATTCACTATGAGTTATTAGCTAACGAGTTTTCAAGCATTCTCCTGCTGCAGACACCATCAGCAGAAGGCACTAATTTAAATGACTTCTAAAACCTACTTACCTTACTCTTCACAATTTACACTGCCAAGCGTGTAGTCTCAAATCCATTCCAATTTCATTCATGGGTTGCAGCTCTGACTCTCCTACAGCTAACTTTGGTGCAAGTCAGGAGTAGCATGTTTAAGGTTAATACTAATCAAAGTTGATTAGTATTCCAGACAATGGAATTAGGTTGTCTTGGGTTGTCTTGTCCCATGTCTTGGGTACTTGCAAAAGGCAGAACTGCTGTGTGTTTGCAATGCAACCCAGTGTTTGATAACAGGGCCTCATTATTAAAAAATGCTTATACAGAGACTTCAGAAAAGAAAAAAACATGGAAGCTAATGGGAACTGGTTTCTTACAGGCTAAAGTTGGCTGTCCTAAGCTCACCTTTAACCCATGGAACAAGATACTAAGAAAGCACGAACTTTGTTGCACTAAGTGTTTAGTATCACTTGGCTCCCTTTTGCTCTCTATGCTCTTATTTCAGGAAAGGGAGCTAGCAAGCCAAGGTATCTTCACCCCCTGCCCCCCAAGAAGAACACTCCAGCTCTTATGGAGAGCAAGTGACTGCTGTCCCTCCTTCCCTGCTACTGTAGACAGGCAGCAGTGAGAAGAAGAGGCAAGAGGACTTTTTCCACTGCCCGGCCCTGACCACAGAACTTCGCTGCAAGTTAAAGCCAGGAATAAAGTTCCCTTTGCTGACTCTGGGGTCGTGCTAGCTGCTGGAGGAGACTAAAATTCTGGGTCGTGCAGTGACTTTTTGGCCTTGCAGATCTCGACTCCTGCGTCGTAACAAGTCATCTCCAGTCAGAGATATTAGCACAGCAAAGTACATCTGCAAATATTTTGTTCGGTAACTAACAAACTAATCTTTTGGAAGCTGCGTGAATCATGCTGCAGCATCAGAGAAAACTCCCTCATTAATTACTACACAGATAATTGTCCCTGAGAGCACGGCTGCTGTAAGGTGAAACAGCAATGTAACTCAAAGCAAGCTGCTCCCAACAACTGCATGCACCTGCATTTCTGAAAATACTTCTGAAATATTCTGGCTGGTGAGAAGAGAACTTAAGAGCTTGCAAGAGATGGGAGTGCCTCCAGCTCTACTGCATCTGTCACGTCCACCTTGGAGGGGGTCAGAGCAAAGCAAGGAGTTGTGTGAGCACGCATGACCGCCGTATGTGTGCAAGCGTGCACATGGGTATGCTTTCATTTATGTTAGGTGCAGAGGGTCAGATCAGCCCAAACTGGGGAGATGCATCTTGTGACTTTTTAACAAGAAATGGAATTAATGGGAATTTGCACTCTGATAATTATTTATCAGGGCAAATTATTTTAATATAATGATAAACTCTTAATAACAACTTACCAGGGTAGTAGGAGGGAAAATCCACTATAATTGTATATGTAGTGTAACAAAACACCCCCC